TACTCGCAAAATTCGCATATTCTCGACAAAACGTTGTTTTTGTTTTTGTTTGGACCTCCTCCTCATGAACGCTTACCATCGATAACAAACAAAAAAAAAAAAAAAGGAAAACACTTTTCCGTTACATTAAACTCTGGTAAGACTTTCTACGCCTTTCATATCACAAAGTTATAGTTTTCTTATTTTCTTTTCACTAAATAGTTATTTTGCTTTCCTCTCGAACCCCTATTTTCTTTTGATTTTGTTTATGAATGAACTTTTAAACTAAGTTGTAACAGTAGTGAGAGCAAAATGAATGTAGTCTATCTTACTTTGGTTACCATTTCATTTCTATTTTTAGAAGCGTTTTATTTTTTTCATTTTTTTTTTATTTTGTAGCGCAAATTTCTCGGCCACTTTGTTAGCATTTTTACTAAAACTTTGTAGTCGGCATTTATGTTGTGCTTAGAGAGCAACAATTAGACAAACTTACGTGTAGGTGTGTGTGTCCCTGTCAAAAAATCGTAAACAAAAATTATTAAAGCTTCGTTTAGCGAAATACAAAACATTGGCCTTTTCTTTGGTTGCTCTGCAAAATCACTAATAGCAACTTTTAATCACAGCGCACCCAAAAGCTCCAAAGCCTGGAGTGGCAAATTGAACTGTCGTGGCAGCATGTCGCCCGGCCCACTAGAGGCTGTCTTTTTCGGCCCACAAATTGTGGGCACCACCAAATGCAGCGGCGGACCTGCTGGTCGTCTTTTGCAGTCGCGACAGATACATCATGAAATCTGTAGTCTACTGTTGGGCGCCATCGAGAATCTGAAGGCGACTCTCAATGAGTTCAGTGCAGTGCTGACGAAGAGCATGAATAACCAAATCGGCTCACCACCGTTACGAGAGAATGATGCCTCCGAGCGTTTACAGCATTTTACCGAAGCGGCCAAGGTAGGTCTACCCCGTCGTTGAGACTGCGCAAATGTGATCAGAACTTATAAAAATCTATTACTATCTATTACAGCTGCATGATACCGAGGAGGACTTTGCAATCCGTGCCAATTCCGACATCGCCCAGCTATGCGCCGAATGCATCATGTTTTGGCGACGCGTTATACTCGCCTCATCTCAGTCCGCGGTGCACACTCTACTTGCCAAGAAGCACCACATCTTGCGAGTGCAACGCTTCGCCGAAGGTTTCTTTGTCAACGAAAATCCGCGCCATTCGGCGGCTGGTTGCTACGACAGTAACTACCAAAACTATGTAGCCATCGCCGAAATGGCACGCCGCAGTCGCTACTTACAGTCGTTGCCACCGCTGCCGGTACATTGCACACCCATTGATGGCGACGCCAGTTCGTTGCCGCTGATATTTGAGGATCGTTACGTGGAACCACCGAGCTATACACGTAGACGCACCGGCAGCGATCCGCATTTGAATAGTCACGAGAGTCTGGTGAGCTCCTGTGGCAGCAGTACGCCCAAACCACCACCTCCGCCCGCCTGCATGCTCGATAAGACGCATTCGGTGAACAGTCTGAGCGGACGCAGTTCGAACTCCAAGGAATGTTCATGTACCGTTAATTTTGAGTATCAGAGTAGCCCTGGCTGTGTAGCAGGAGTGCTTACTCCACGATTCGCCTTAGGTGGGGAAATATTGCAGGCGAGTTTGACCATTGCAACGACGGCAGCTGCAAAGGCACCGGCCACCGACGTTCTTAATCAACGGCAGATGTCACGACACTCCGTCACAGGTCTACTCGAAGATGGTGATAATAATGAGGCAGCTAATGAATACAACTATAATACGAACGGTACATTACCAACACGTCACAGTAAGTCTTTGGACCAGCTAGACGGTACAGTTCACAGTACTCCATCTCTTCGCACTCACAGTCATACACAACAGCTTAATCTGCATTCTTCGCAAACGCAATCGGAGTCTAATTATAAGCACTTCAGTGTTGGCGCCAGTGTTTCTAGTTTGGCTAATAAAGTCGATCAGTCGAGCTCGCGGAAGCACAAAACACAAGCTGAAGATCTCATGCGCAACATTTCGGAGTTTCGACAGAAGTACAAGAACTGTGAAGACGGGGCACGTTGCGAACAAAAATTGTATTTGAATGGCAATGGCACGCCGCACGCCAACAATCTCAGTTTGAATGGCTGCAGCCGGTCGGTGGTAAGCACTTTGAACCGCCAGTTAAATACCAACGAACGCGCCGGTAAGTTCGACTATCTGCATGAAATACGAATGCTAAATTCGCCAAAGCAGCTAACGCTTTGCTCGCACTACAATTCGTTGCCAAAATACAATGGAAATGGACTGATTCCACCGAGAAACTCATATCCTCCAATCAACTCGAAGAAAATCAACGGCTGCTTAGAGAACGGCACCAAGGTTATCCCAAAGCCTACATTGACAGCAACTCAGCAACAACACACCATACCGCGCAGTAGCTCCTCACAGGCACTACGCCAGAGGTCCCAAGGCGATGTAAACTTCCAAACGAACTCATCGTCGACCATACCGCGTTCAGTTGAGATCGCGCGAGTCCGAGTGTCCGACCTTAAGGAAATGTTGAAGAACGGTACTTTGAAGAAAGAGTCAAGTAGCTCTGAAAGTGATATAGCCTCCAAAGTGCATTCATCGAAAAGTAGCGACCATAAAATGCTATCTTCGCTGAGTGTGCCCTTTAAACTGGAGTCCTTAAACAATACTAGCAGCGAACAGAATACCAGCGGGTTTAGCGAGTCGCTACCAAATCTGGCGCCACCGCCACAGTTCAACTCTGAATCGGGGCAAAAACGCAAACTTGTGCTGAGCAATTCCACATCATCATTGAGTGAAGAGAGCGGTTGGGTCTCTAGTCGACGCAGTTCGCTTGGTCCATCTAGTCCCGAAACCATCACGAACAATGAGAAAAACGTGAAGAAAGAACAAGCACATATCAACGGCATGGAGACGCGGCTCAACGGTGAGCAGCTACGTCTTAAACTACAACAACTATTGGATCAACAAAATCAAAAAACCATCAAAAAACACAATTCAACGAAACGCGATACGAGTCAAAATCATAAAACCAACGGAGCGAGCAACGAAGTATCTATTCATCGCAAAGTGTCATCGGTAACACTGAAAATGAAGCCCGATTATAGTAGAACCGAAATGCATTTACGTCGGCATTTACAACATTTACCAAATGGCGAGTCAACGGAGACCGATGACTTGGAAATTCCCTCCCGAAGAGAACGCTCGCGACATGCTAAACATGAAAAATCTAAATCCGATTTTGATTTGGTCAGTTTGAAAGAAAATGCACCGCTGGAAAATGTGCGAGTGCCACCACCTCAACAATTTCAAGATGACCTCCTGCCACCCGACGAATTTCGTGATCCACCCTTACAGGGATCACATGAAAAAGAAAACGCCAACAAGTCGCATTCCGCCAATACAACAAAGATCATTGATACATCCAAAAATAGCAACAGCAAGAAGAGTAATACACAGTTCAGCATATCGACGACGCATACGATCAACGATATCAAAACCATGCCAACACACATACCCAAAACGAAACTGAAGCACAACCAAAACTTTAAGATCAGTCCTAAAAAGAGTCGTCCAACACACACCGTAGCAGTTATTCAGTCACAAAATCCAAAGTGCATGCAACAATCTTCGCCCACTACGACGCTAGTGGTCACACCATCCCAGCTAAAGAGCATCGCCCAGCAGCAGAGCCTGCTGGAGCTACTGGAGCCCAGCCCTGCCATCGACAACCCAGTCTATCACATTTACGAGTCACTAAAACCCATCGCCACACCCGCCATCTTTACAAACAAACCGCTATTGAAATCGCACAGCATCATCGAACTCAAACACAGCCATGGCGAACAATTCTACAATAACAGCCACTGTAAGACTGCGGCGCATCAGCACTTGGCCCACACCAACGTCGGCAACACCGCGGTACCACACAACGGCCACCACAGTCATGAGCACACGCAGCGCTCTCACTCCGTCGATTGCACCGAAGATGAGGATAAAGAAAACACCAGCACCACACAAAACCAGATGCCAGTGGCGCGCACCGATAGCCAAAAGTCAAACAGGTCACTGCAGTTGACAAAACGTACGAAAATCGGCGGTGCCGGCTACACCAACCCGGAGGCCACAAACACTTCACTTTTAGAATTCGAAAAATATCGCGAAGAATTTCGCAAACAAATCAAATACACCGGAAGCATTTATTCGGACTTTGCTAAGCTGGCGTCCGAACTGCCATACTTTAGCATTAGCGACGAGTACCGCGCTTTCTCGCCCAACGGTATGCATTTAATTATCTGTGTTCACGGATTGGATGGAAACGCAGCCGATTTGCGATTGGTACGCACCTACCTGGAGTTAGGACTACCCGGCGCTAATTTGGAATTTCTAATGTCGGAACGCAATCAAGGCGATACATTCTCCGATTTCGAAACAATGACCGATAGGTAAGTGCAGTAGAGGTAAAACTCGTCTGCTATGTAGCTGCGAAATTACAAACTCATCTTGCAGACTTGTCGCTGAAATACTGTATCATATCGAGACGTGTGGCCTAAATCCGACGCGCATTTCATTTGTCGCTCACTCCTTGGGTACAATCATTGTGCGTAGCGCCTTGGCACGCTCACAAATGCGCCCGCTACTGCCGCGCCTACATACATTCCTATCGCTATCGGGGCCGCATTTGGGCACACTCTACAACACAAGCGGGCTGGTCAATATGGGTAAGTTAATGAGCGGCTCTACGGCTATTCAATTATTCAATATTCATATTTCTTTATGCTCATTTGCATATTTATTTTTATTTATAGGCATGTGGTTCATGCAGAAATGGAAGAAATCCGGCTCTCTCCTACAGCTTTGCATGCGCGATACAGCGGATCTGCGTAGCTCGTTTCTCTATCGGCTGAGCCAGCGCAGCACGCTGCATCATTTCAAGAATATACTGCTCTGCGGTTCCAGCCAAGATCGCTATGTGCCAGCGCATTCGGCGCGTTTAGAGCTCTGCAAGGCAGCTATACGCGATAATTCCAATTTGGGAACGGTTTACAGGCAAGCAAAATTTTTATATATTGGATTTTATTTATGTAGATAATGGAAATAATCAGTTATTCTTTTTTGTTTTTTTTTTTGCAGGGAAATGATTCATAACATAATCGCACCGATATTAGCACGCCCCGAATTGAATTTAGCCCGTTACGATGTTCATCATGCGCTTCCGCATACAGCAAATACGCTCATCGGTAGAGCAGCGCATATTGCTGTACTCGACTCGGAATTATTCATAGAGAAATTTTTATTGATCGCGGGTTTGAAATATTTCAGTTAACCACTGAGATCAGTACTTTAAAGACAATTGATTGCGGCGTATGGACGATAGGGATTGTGAGCGTAGAAATTGGGCACTGTTAAAAAAAAAAAGTTAGCATTTAGTCGTAGTTACTGTTATACGCCTTAGAGAACAGATTAGGGTAAACATACGAATTGATCAAGTATTAAGCAGGGATTCACAACTACATAGAAAATTGGGCGCTGGAATTTGAAATGTATAAGGGAAAAATTTATGTTTAAACTTTTTCTAAAAATGTCATTATCAAACTTTATTCTTTTCTTAGTCCTCTCAAAATATCGCTGGAATATTCGTGTGAGGGAAATCTTTTTTTTTATAGATCCACGGGACCTCGGTTTTGTTTTTTTTGTAGATTTTATTTATTGCAAAATGCAATAGAAGGGCACCCGCCTGTCACCTCTCACTCGGCTTGACAGCTCTCCTCTCATACTAGTAGCCGGGCACTGCCTAATGGGTATGCATTATAAAAGGTTGGGATACTCAACGAACGACTTTTGTGGCAGCTGCAGAGACGAGGAATAGGTGGAGAGCATCGACCACTATCTCGCCACAGTACCGCCCTAGCCAAAATGCGCAACCACTTCTTCAGCAAGTATTTTTCAGATTTCTTGGCCGGTCTAAGCTCAGCGGACATTCAAATTGTTTGTGCTATAGAAAATTTAATCGGTGGTTCAACTATTGAGGGTGGGAAAGAAGCGAATGGATTCCGTGCATGCGTACATCGATACATCGATGTTTTTTGAAAACTGACATCTCTAATACCTCGAACCGCCATTTCAGTTTTTCAATTATACAAAAAGCAAAAGCGAGTTTGGAAAAAAAATTGAAATGGCTCTAAAAAGTTTCGTTAGACACATGCAGCCCAATTCTGAATACTCCCAGGGAGTTTGTTCTCCGGGAATTTGTTTCTCCCGAGAAAGAAATCCCCCAATAATTAACTCCCAGGGAGTAGCATTTGCCCCGAAAATTTGGGAGGAGGAAATTCGAACTTCGAGAGAGCTGTTTGACACTTTTTTTTTGACAGCTCAACTCCGCCATTTAATATAAAAAATCCTCAGGGGAATTTTTATTCATGATAGGAGGAAAGGGAAAACATAGAAAAAACTCCCAAATCGATGCATGAACGTATGTCCTTCGATGTATCGATAAATATCGATGCACTTTTCGATGTATCGAATCGAAGAAATACATCGATGTATTTCGATGCCACTGACATCACTATTGTAGTGCCAAGTTTGAAGAATACTTTCGGGAAGGGTAAAATTTTCTCTCTCTCTTCTTTTTTGAAAGCATCAAACCCAGGGAGGTATTCGCTCGGCTGGGGCATTATTTGCATAAATAAAAATCTCTTAAATAGTTAAGTAAAATGATAAAGGTACGCGTGTTGAGGAAAACGGGCAGATTGATTAGAAACCAAAGAATTATGGTAGATTTAAAAGCTTTGTGATTAACGAACTATTAGAACAGGGTAAGCTACTTCGCTTTATGAACTTAATTTCTGGACATTAAAATTTTACTTATTTTTTTTTTTAATATTTAACTATGTATGTGAATGATGAAAAAAGTATAAGAAACGAACTACATATGTATCTATACACGTACCTAGTGGTACGTACCTAGGTATGTATTTATGTACATATGTTTGAGAAAATTAAAACTGAAAACAACAAGGAATTTTTCAAACAGATTTGAACTTTTTTATATTACAAAAAAAAACTACGCATGTATTTAATATTAAGATCAAAATGCCCTTACATACATACTTCTATTAGACTACATAGAAAGACAAGTAGCAGATACATACATATTTAGTCGTAGAGAATCAATGTTACAAAATCAAAACCAAAGAAAGAACATTTATGGAAAGTGGAAGTGTTAAATTTTGAATCAAAACAAAGAAAAACAATTTATTAAAAAAGAGATACATAGTCTTAAAATTATAGAATATTTATAAAAGACAAAATACATACAACCAAACAAATATATCTACTATATAAAGAAACGTTGCACCATGTTTGAGGGCTTGAAAGCTTAACAGTTATGAGCTGTTTTGGTATGGTATTGGATGGGCTAATAAGGTAGCGTTAAGGTTCGTTTAGTAGTTAAACTCACAAAAATTAAAAAAAAAAACATTCACATCACTTTGAAATCATTTTTTATAAAGAAAACGTGCAATTTAAACATACATATAAAAGGATTGAGCAGCTATTGAAGTAGTCGAATAGTAAATTTAATGCAGTTAAAAACTTAATCAAAATTTTTTTATTATAGGTGCTATATAGATATGTACATACATTTGTATGTATAAGGGCATATGCATACTGAACAAACAAAAAAATATATTTCAATTGTCGGAAGTCATATGTAGAAACACGGAAATATTACGTTTTTTTTTTTTAAGTGAGTCAAATTTTTTGCTTTCAACGGTAAGGGTCAATTAGGTCGTAGTCGATTTTCAAAATTGTTTTCGAACTTAAAAAAAATATATGTATTGTTTTATCGAACATTGTTAGAAATGCAGGGAAAATAATTTATAGAGAACAGGAATTGTCTAAGCGAATTTTTCCAAATGCTTATTGTAGTTTGTAGTTGCAAGAATGATGTTGCAAATAAGTATACATAAAATCAAAAAATAATTGTAGTTATGTACATTGGCGATTGTCTGATTTTAAAATTGTACTAAACTCTGCATGTTGTTAATCGAATTGCTAGTAATTTGTGTGTTTTCTTTTTAACTGGTATTTTTTGCATTTCATCACATACATACATACATACATTATAGTCAGGGTTGCCAGGTGTCTTTGTTTAAACACACACATACACAACCATAAATTCCCTTTAATCCCATCCGCCGTTTCATCCCCGTTAACCAAACGAAAACCCAGGAAACCCCGGGTTGAAGTGGAAAACAACAAAACAGTAATCTTAAGCACCGAACACTCACAATTCGTCCATTTAATTACTTTAGCGAAAACTATGTAAATGAATGAATTCGTATTTATAATAAAATTACATACATACATACATATTTATAATTTATGCATAATGCCCGACAGCTATTTACTTACAAAATTTCAGGCAACAAATTAGATCTTTTTTCTTATATTTCTGTATGTGCAAATACTTTGTATGTATGTAATAAATTGAATTTTCATTTTGGTGTGTGTAAGAATAACGAAAAATAAATCGCTGCTAATTAAAAATTGTGGTTTTATTTTATCCTGTGAGCAACAATAAATATATTTTTTTGTCTTTTAGAAACATAACTTAAATACATACATATGGACCGACTTTCCTCTCAAAAGCATACTCTGACAAGAATCACGAAACAACATGAAAGCTTTCAATCAAAGCGAATTATAAAGTAAATTATCGATATATATATCTTTATCGATAACACTGGTCTACAAATTTCAACTTTTTTTCTGCGAATAAGACGGGACCTGGTGTTTCTGAACGGATTTTTCGTGCTGAACACGAATCCGGGGTCAAAAATGTCCCATCACGTCACGTTTTCGAGAAAAAAGGGGTTGAAACCCCTAAAAACAGCGTTTTTGGCCATTTTCGAAAAATTATAGAGCTGAACCCTGACGTGGTACAAATTTTGCATATATCAGAAATTAAAGGCTAAACCGTGCCCTTTCGAATGAGCCCTATGCCGAATTGATCGCGTGCACCCTTAAAGCAGGGGGTGTATTTGTGTTTAGGGGTGCAGGAAAAATTGATCGCCATATTGGATCCGCCATTTTGAATTTTTAAAATCTAACTTCAGATTCGTAATCAGCGACTCTTAATGTAGTTAAGACCTTAGCATCATTCATTTTATATGGTCGTTTAAGATGAAATTCTTTCTGCGATCAATTTTCCCTGGACTCCTAGACACAAATACACCCCCTGATCTAAGGGTGCATGCGATTAATTCGGCATAGGGCTCATTCGAAAGGGCACGATTTAGCCTTTAATTTCTGACATATACAAAGTTTGTAGCACGTCAGGGTTCAGCTCTACAATTTTTCAAAAATCGCCAAAAACGCTGTTTTTAGGGGTTTCAACCCCTTTTTTCTCGAAAACGTGACGTGATGGGAAGTTTTGGACCCCAGATTCGTGTTCAGCACGAAAAATCCGTTCGGAAACACCAGGTCCCGTCTTATTCGCAAAACCCTTGTAGACCAGTGTAATTCGTCAATATTATTACGAAAGTACATATGTATAGAGCGTGTCAGATGTGGCAATATTTGCAACTTTTCCACGCAATTCGCTTCCAAATTGAGAAAGATAAATTTTATTTCGAAGTGTGAACAGCCAGAAAGACCTTTCTGTCACATTTCGGAAATCGGTTTCAGAAATAAAAGTTGCAAGGTGCGACTACAATTGAGAGAGCGCAAATCGATTTCGGAAATATATTTCAACTTGCTCGTGCAAAAAAAAACTTTCGAAAGACACTTTACATGCAATTTCTCAATTTGACAGCCTTTTCGCATATATATTTCCACGTCCGACAGGCTACTATGTATCGCTATGATTTTCGCATTTGCTGCTCTACCCTCCCCGGGACATGATTTTTTTTATTAGATCGATATATCATCATTCATCGTTATCAACACATTTCTCGAAATCAATCCTAGATGTTGTTGCTGAATTCACCGTTATGCGCTTTTTGTAAAAATTAAAAAAAAAAATCAAATTTAACAAGTACAAGTAACAAATAAATCGACATACGTGAACACCCTTTAAATGATGTCATCGCCAGTGCTCGGATTAAACGAAATTTTTTGTGTACATATGGAAAAATTTTGGTAGGTTTCTTACGAGTATATTAGACCTTAGTTTAAAAATACCTGGTTTATTATATGTTTTCTTATTTTTGTATGTATTACAGAGAACTGTATTACAAAACAGAAAATATAATAGGTAGTAATAGTATCGAACAAATTAATCATGATAAAAACATTATGTTACGTCGCGACATTTGAACGAATTTTGACTATTTTTCTTTTGTTTGTTTGATGTTTATTAATTTTGTATGAAAGTTTACCTCATTCTCTAACAAAGCTTAAATGTTGAAAAATTTTCTACTCGAATATCTGGCATTACTCCGAGCACTGGTCGTCGGGCCTATATCAGCAACCGCTATTGTGAATCTGCGAAAATAATGATCAAAACAAAACTTCCAAACACACAATTGTGACCAACACGAAAAAAATTGATTAATTTTTTATTACGAGAAAATTCAGCAACATCATTTTGCTTGAAAATAATTTAATATTTACGACTGATAAACGCTAGGGATCGTCATCAAACTTCTAAATCATACATCGAAACAAATATGTCATTCGCACGCGTACCTCAGCTGCGTATTGTACAGCGGGATCTGAAATGTCGACAGGGATGCGGATATTATGGAAATGCTCAATTCGACGGACTCTGCTCCAAATGTTTTCGCGAACGTAACGAAAAAAGAAAGAAAGGTAAGTTGCAGCTATACAATGTCGCATATAATTATTAATAGTAATGTTAATAATATTGCTAAAGCCGAACAAAAAGCAGCCACACCTACTACAAATGCTCCAGCTGCTGCCACTTTTAGCAGTGGAGCAGGACGTTTGTCACCACAAAATCTCTTGGGTCGTTCACTAAATAAACGGCAGGAAAGTATGCCAGAAATTTCGACTGGCACACTTACAAAGAAGAAATCTCTAGTGCCTGCCGTATTTCAAAAAACATTACAATCGAGTACACAAAAGAGCAAAAAATTAAAGCAAGAGGGTAAGATAAATATCACGAAACAAATCTGGGCCAATCAATTAATTGTCATCGTTTTTAACAGCAACAGGCCAGAGGTCATATGTTCCAGATCCTACCGAGAGTCAGTTCATGCTTCAATTGCGCCAATTACGCATACCGGACGATGGCAAGCGTAAATTGAAGAGCGAGATACAACGTTTGGATAATGCCATTAGAAGCTATATGAACAATAATGCTAACAAGAATATAGACGAGCTTTCAGAAATGGTGCAAAATGCATATACTAAGCTGGCAGATATTGTGCACAATGATCAGCGTTTTCAAATTGCTACCAATGAAGATCGCGAAAGTGCTATAGATTTCTTTGAAAAAGTTGTCATGACACAAAATCACAAGTAAATATCTATCTACTTTGTTCAAACTAAATTAAGTGATTACTTTCGCAATTCGCTGTTTCGATAGATTTCTCTTTAGTCCGTATTTTACACCCGATGAAGAAAACGATGTGAAAATCCAAAAGCGGATACGTCAACTTAGTTGGATAACGGCGAAACATTTGGTATGTAGTATTGACGAAGTTAATGCAGAATCCCGTGATCTAGTTTACAATGCCATAACTGGTACGTATGCTTACACAAAACATATACTATATAAACATATTGAATATTCCATTTCATTTATAGAGCTAGTAGGAATCGATTCTTATTATTCGCCTCAAGAAAAACTTGAATGCACAGTACGTTGCTGTCGTCATATCTTCGAATTGCTTAAACATTCAGTTGGGGGCCCCGCAAGTGCCGATGAATTTCTACCCGCGCTTATTTTCGTCGTCCTCAAAGCAAATCCAGTACGACTTCATAGTAATGTGAACTTTGTTACGCGCTTTACTAACGCATCAAGACTAATGAGCGGCGAAGGGGGCTATTACTTTACAAATCTGGTAAGTAAAAAAATCTTTAATTAATAACATCAGTTCAACTGTATACATAAATAAACCTTTTATACCTAGTGCTGCGCAATCTCGTTTATTGAGAACTTAAACGGCGAAAGTCTGGGCATCTCGGAAGAAGAGTTTGACTCGCTTATGTCAGGCGACAAAGCGTTTAGTACACCTTGGGAAAGTGCTTTGCTGGCGTGTGAGGGTTTACATTTAATATCCGAAAATATGAAGCGTATGGAGTCTTTGAAGAAACGCAACAGCAGTATCGCAGCTGGTATTGAAAATTTCCGTAGAGACCTTGAAGAATTCCAGGTATATATTTGGCCGTCGTCTGCTATCTCAAATTTTTTTAGATTTTACGTACGTTTTTCGTTATATTTTTTAGCGCGAAATCAGCGATAAAGTGGACGCATGTATTTCCAAAGCCCCGCTAACAATCCTGCCCATAAAAACGCCATCTCATCTAATCAGTAAAGCACGCGCACATCTTTCCAATGAAAGTGAAGTATCTGCATCGCTGGGACATTATAACGCTAATTTGATTGCAGCTATTGGAGCCAAAAGTCAACCATCCAAAGACACTGCAGAAAAATGCCTTCCTTTTCCCCTATCGTCTACAAATACACTGGAAGAAGCTACTATAGAAGACGCTGCCCACACATTGGCGCTTAAGGACACCAGTATTACTTCAGTGGGCCGTTTGTCACCTCTACCACAGGCACAGCCAAATGCAGATTTACTATTTACGTCCCCTATTTTCAACTATACACCTTTTGATGCAGTTTCACTGCTAGATGATCACTCTGACTCCACTGATGATTTTGTTCTCAACACTGATCTGCGAGGCGGGCTTACGAATGTAAATTATGACTTTGACTTATCTGATCATAGTGCAGAAAATAGTGTCGCCGAGGACTTGAAGCTTAACTTGGAAGAGTTCGATCCCCTTGCTCAAAAGCCAGAAGAAGAACCAGGGACCGTAATATCAACAGATTTAAAAACACCAGACAACAATATTAGTTTATTGGACAGCGATTCGCCAACAAATGGAACATTGCTGCCATCTCCACTCAAGCCTACTGTTACTGATTACCGTGGTTTCTCTCGTTTCGAAATTCCTTCGATTTCGTGCAATACCGGAGACTTCGCATCACTCAATCATTCAATAAATGAACAGATTGATAATTCTGGACCACCAAACGTATTATCTGAAAAGGGATTTAAGATTTAAGCTTCGGAGTAGTTTGCAGTGTGACCATTGGTGATGCAGGCATTAATGCTTCTAACCATCATACATTTATATATAAAAGTAAGCGGATAGAATGCTTTCGACATATGAAAATAAAAGGCTAAAGGAGGAACTGTTTTTATAAAGAACTTAGTAAAATGTAGCGAATATTTTAGATTATAATGATAATCCGGAAATAGTTACATAATCATGCATCCGTTTCCTGAAAATAGGTTCACTGAGTTTTTTTTTTTTGTGTTCGATACCTGTGTGTAAGTACTTGGTAAATATCGGGTATAAGGTGCAAGAATAGGTAGATTTACTTGTTTGAAAAAATGATGCAACTTCAAATGGGAAGTGGTGGTACGTACAAGTTCCTTCTGAATGTCGTAAATATCAGAATGGAGAACTTCCTAGATATACTTTGCGAAGCATCAGTATTCTCTTCGATATATCGCATATATCACTCCAAAAAAATAGTTCAAAAAATGCATCACTGATTGTGAATGCTGACAAACGAACTGCAGTCACAATAGAATAACAACAAAACGAAATGCCAAACACAGTCGATCCGATTGGCTTTCGATTTGTCCAACGCTGTGATTTTGTGTGCGGAGGGATTGTGGACTTTTCGAAGGAAGCTGCGAACTAATTATTTCCAAAAAACTCAGTTAAAACGCATGCAAAAGCATAGAAAAATGGGAAAAAGTGCGGACGAAAGGTGGGTGCAAAATGGCCAAACTGCTTGCCAAGTTCTACCAGAGTTCCAATATTTTGTTATGCAATTATTTGAAAATGGAGGGGAGAATATCTCATAAAATAATGGATAAAGTGATTTGAGTGTGTGTCGTGCGTTGACGGGAGATGGAAGCGATCTGTGTGGCCGGTTGTTATAGGGGCGGTGCAAGTGCGGAGGAGATTGGCGCCTAGAAGTAAATAATTATATACGACGCCGTCTGATACGTTTACACTGTTTCTGCTTTTGTCATTGCCTATTTGAAGCGGCTTCTATTCTGCGCCTCCCTAAAGCACAACATCAAAAAATATTTAATTGTTTTTGCAAAAATTTATATTTTAGTGCGCTGGTAGTAATATTTAGTGCGTTAATTTGGGGATTACCTACAGCGCTGCCCTACATGTATGTACCACACTTTTCTGCGACGACTACTACGCAATATTGTAACCAAGACCTTGAACCCAGACACGCTCGCTTGATACGCCTGTATGGTCCTCTGGCTTCCGCAGCCTACAAACAAGGCTAGATTAACTATTTTAATAAGTATTTAATAAGCTTGTTATTGATTTCATTGATATATGCGCAATATTTAGTATGTAAATTTTCGCCACGAATGGATCAATTAGCATAATTGTAGTCACCGATAAGCAATCTTGTTTTTAATCTTTCATAAACCTACATTTACACTTTTTATCTACTACTCAAATTTATTTTGCTTTTATAATAGTACACCAGCCGCACCTACCTTCCGTATCATTCGCGAAGTCTACGAAAGCACCAATGCACATGAACGCTTTGAAGCTGAATTGGACAAAGCGTTGGAGGCTAAGGTGGACTACATAATAATTGAACCACCAAGGCTCGGCGACGAGACGGGGCGTTGGATAACAGTTGGCAATTGCTTGCACAAAACTGCTGTAGTTTCAGGAGTGGCTTCGCTCATATCAAGTTTGCTTTGGCGGGATCGACCAGTTATCGCCGCTCCTATGTGTGCTGTGTCACTTTTCTGCACGGGTTTATATACAGTATCGTGGAATTATGATCCCTGCTGCCAGTATCAGGTATTGTATGATTAGTAAACAATGTGTCATACAATTATAAACATGAATCCAAAAAAATTAGCTCACTCGGTTTTAATACCACACAACTTTTCCTTACAATTCATATTGCAGGTAGAAAACGATGATGAAATACTTAGCAAATTACCAATCGGAGATGTATCTGCGCCTGTGATCTTAGGCTATTCTCCAAATACCAAAACAAAGTACTTGCATCGCAGCATTACTCTGTTCTCAGCAGCATTCTGTGCATGGCAAATCTGGCGATCTTACAAGTAGCTAGGTTTACCAGTGGTCCGCAGTATAGTATGAGGAGAGTTGCATGCAAATTTGTGATTATAAGAAAAGTAAAATGTCAATGAAGCATGATGTACAAAATTAGCATGTACATTTTCAAATGCCACACATATAGTCACGCCACGCCACTATGCTCTCACGACCGCAACCACAACCGTAACCAACAGCAGTACCCAATTATCCAGCACAGATGAAATCGGAGACTCCGCAGCAACGATAACAACCGGAATAGCTCAGAATGGATCAAGTAAACAGTTGGCAGTTATTGATCGAAAGACATCCCACTTTTTTTCTATTTAATATAATTCACTAATTTTTATTTTATAAATTTTTACAAGTAATAAGAATGAACATAAGTAAATAACGAGGTAGTATAAAAACGAAAGCGAAAATATGTTTGGGATTAATTTGGATGTTACACACTTAGACAACATTTAGTCATTGGCATGGAACTTTTAAAGAAAAGAATAGTAATTTTTTTTTTTTGTATATTCCAAAGTTTTGCTTAGCTGAAAGTTAAAATGGTTGAAAGGCAAATTTTTAAATTTTTATATTTTACTTCGCTTTTAAAAACTATATATGTATTTGCTATAACGCTGTGTTCCTACTGTATCTTTATGAGCTCTTTTTTTCACGATTATGCCATAAAGTGAGTATGGAATTTCCTCGGTCATCTGCATTATACTTACCATTTTGTGTAAAATAACCGGCATTCAGCTGCAGGAAACTACATTCTCATTGAATAATTTTGTATTGTTTTATTCGTTTAGGTTATAAAGCCAACTAAAAAGTAAATAAGTATAAACAAAAAAAAATCCAAATAAATGTTTAGTAATAAAACGATAGATGCAATTTCGGAATCGACTTTTAGAAGATAACTTGTGTTAAAAAAAAATAAAAAATTGTTGCAATTGTATAATATTCAAAAGTAGCGAAGACAAAGTCAAACGCCATAAAACTGAAGAAAAGTATCTAAATACACACTAATATATAAAATAAAAAAATGAGCTAACTACAATTGAAAAAATTAGTATGCATTTTTTAAAGCGCTTACGATAAAACAACTATAGGGTCAAGTACTTATAAACAGATACATATTGCACGTTTAATAATATAACGAATTATTACAAAATTTAAGTTTTGTGGGAAAACGAAATCAAAGTTTTATCATTTCATACAGTTGATATAAAAAAAAAGATGGAAAGACACATATCTTCGCCATATTTGGGAAGTTTGGTTATCGGTTGGAAATCTCCAAAAACGTAAATTTTGAGTTACCATCTCTATATGATTAAACGTGAGATATGTCACTGCGTACGACTTTGTTTAATGGTGATAATTATGTTTGTCTTAGAATTCGATTAAACGCAAATACCGAATTGCGTTCAAATACCTACATGCATCTTGTTTGCGTATGGTTATGTTTGCAATTTGTAAATAAGGTAATCACTTTTAAAACAAAGCCCCATTTTCGGCTTGTTTATGTTGCTTTCTTTTCTTTGAAACTCTCCGAGTTTATTAAGACTTCGTGGCAACTGTACCCTCAGAGTCGACGTAATGTAGGCAGGTTGATAACAATGGTATGTGCATAGCAAAGGTTTGGGTACAGTCCAAAATTTATGTAAACTTAAGAGAATAAAAAAACGAATGCACATTACTAGAGAAATATCAAAATTACATACCGACTGTATACTTCTTTGGTTGTTGTTGTAGCAGCATACAAGTTTCCCAAAGAGTTTTTGGGGAGTGTTGCTGGAGTTACAATCCTTGGCCAAATATAAATCTGGGTCGTTCCGGTTACGTAGACCCGGCTGTCGTGGGAACGATATTTCTTTAGTGTGATACTTCTGTGTAAACATTTTTGATTAAAGGCATAGTTATCACAAAGGATTTTCAATACCGGCTGCATTCTCATAATCCTAATCCATACAGCAGATGTGGCATTGTAGGCATGCATATTTACAACTCGATGCAAATGTAAACTCATACAAACTCATATTCTCTTACCTCCGCACATATTTAGTATATACATAAGACACTAAAACGGCAATCAAATTGCATACAAATCTATATTCTAAGCATATACTAGTGCATGCATTAATATGCAATCTTAGCCATACACATGTAAACAAATATCTGCTCATACCCTGTAGGAAAATGTACTGGTCGCTATTAGTATGCTGGTCGCTGTTTTTCGCTTAGATAGAATTTGACAGGATATTTTGTAGTCGTAACTGCATAAAAACTGCTCAAAGAGTTTAGGGGAATGCTGCTCGAGTGACAGTCATCGGCTAGAAATAAATCTGGGTTGTTGCGGTTATGCTGTCATGAGGACATTTTACAGGGTCTCGTGATGACCGCTTCTACTATGTATAGATTATCAGATCGAAACGTGAAATGCCGGTCTAGGACCATCTCTCAATGACAACGTATTTTTTACAAGCGTTATCAAGAGATTTGTATTCAAAAGCAAAAGATTTACCTATGACTAGTTGCGATTCTGCATTCAGAGCGAACAGAGTACCAGTATTTTTAGCCAAAAAGTCCTCTATCAAACTCAAAATACAATGAAAATTTCCTACTGGCCTACATTAAAAAGTGAATGCACACGAATTAAGGTTGGTCATCTTTATATCAAACATACTTGGTTTATATTTAGAGGAGATATAAATTTGGGTTGTTCCGGTTGCGTAGACCCGACTGTCGGAATCCCAAATTCAGACATCGCGGCATAAAAGCCGGCTTTAAAGCTGAAAAATAGATGGTGAGTTTTGATCCTATTGTCGCGAGTCTTTTCAGAAGTTGGCGTATTGTGAATACCTGGTCTATGTTGGCTTGAAACCTATACTTAGAAGGTAGATCAGACTTAAATGCCTGTTTCGTCGCCGAAGACTAGCTGTCAAAACGGCATACTCCGGACAACGACAGCATGCCTTGTTATATTGGCTGAGCACCATCTTCACAGCGAAGCACAAATGCTCCCTGTGAGAGAGCACACCAAAGTGCTAAGCCAGCTTGAGGAAGAGCCTCCGCCCAGGCACGTCAGAAGGCTTATTTTCGAATATATAGACGTGGTACAGACCCACACAGAACAACCTTTAGATCCGACAACATACCGACGAGTGATCAACGGCACTCATAAAGAGTCGGTACTTTCGACCTATGAATGCCGTTATCGTAGCCCAATTTCCACCCATTGTAGACACTGAGTTTCGAATGACACGAGAACCCGCATGACTCTGGCTCAATTGTGGTATGGATACTGTGGCCGCCTAAACAGCTACTTATCCAGACTCGGGGCCCCAATATCCCAAATGTGTTTCTGGCATGTGGAGACTCCGCTCACGACACCAACCACCTCTTAACATGTCAACTGAATTCCAGTCAGTCAACATCCCTCGCCCTCTAGTCCATCATCGTCAAAATAGCTCGTTTCCTAGTGCCTATTGACCTTATTTCCGTTGATCTTGTTACCTGTGATCCGGTTAAATAAAGGCTTGGAAAAAAAGTTGTGATCGCCAAAAAGCTATTTATTTATAACCGATTTCAAAAAAGGAGGAAAGTTATGAATTCATGGCAATATTTTTTAGCTGTTTTTTATGTATGTATGTTACCGAATAACTTTGGAATACGTATGTTCTAACAGTGACTATATCAGCGGACCACCCTAATGTGCATTTGCATCGCATACATATGCATACATACATACATACCATTTAAGTTCACATGTACATACATACATATGTATATAAGCTAAATGCATAAATTATATTTTGTTTAGTGTAAATGCATCTATACACATGCATACATAAATACATACTATGTACATATGTACATAACTATTTATGTAAGCATGTACATATAAACAATTGTTTATATGCATCCCGTAGAGTAGGACGCTGTCGGCAGTAATTAAACGGTATCAATTCATCAGTATTCCGCACTCAAAATCGCTTTGTCGTCCGCCAACGCGATCATTTCAATCTCATTACAGCTGCCCTCAGCAATAAGTGCCACGGAAATCGCCTCCAACGCGCATACGTCGGCAAATTGTCTGCAGTTTCAAATAAATAAAATTAAAAAAAACAATTCTTTAGTGACTTACGTACAAACATCCGTTCACTCGCTGGTCGGAATAATGAAAAACTTTTCAGCAATAGGTTTCACGGACCAAAATTTGCTGGTTGAACTGTGACAAGGAGGTCATACAGCAGCATCATACAACAACAATAGGGATCTAAGATTTACCGTCTCTACTGCGACTACAGAGGCTACTAAATAGAGGCTAACAACAATAAATAGTGAAACTATAGCAAAATTCATGTTATGCATAGTTCTAAAGTCAGTGTCTAAGTTCGCGTTGAACCATTTTTTTTTTTGGATTTATGGTTAAAGCGTTAATTGTGTAAACCGCGGCATAACATGGAAGGTGAGTAGTAAGTACTACAATTGAATGATCAGTTATCGCTGATAATGGCCTGGTATCAGCTGAGCTTTGCACTAGGTGTCTGAAAAGTTCATTATAAATAGATGTACGTACATCAGCATATTTGTATGTATGTATTTATAAATATGTACATATGTATGTATTTAATATAAAGATAGTGTGCCGATGCTTCCTTATTTGTTTCTTTTTTAAAACGCCCACGAAGGAAACCCCTCGATAGTTAGGCTTAGATGAGTGTGCTTTGGCCTTGCCGGGACCAACAGAACAGATAGAACGGAGGATTAAGTTCAGTGTAGAAGTTAAAACACCCATCAAGGATAACTTTGGCCACCAACCAAATTCATTTTTCGCACATTTTTAAGTTCAAAAACACCGCCTGTTCTTGTATCTATCGCCATCAAAACCACGACTGAAATAGTATATGTGGGTTACTCAGTTCGGAATACTGGGGAATAAGACAGGTTTTGAAATTCACTTTTTGTCATTTCAATGCCTAGTGAAAATTCGGCATTAAATTCACAACTTCAAATCGATATAAAAGTAAAACACGGATCCAACTTCTACAAATACTTTGGTACTTATTCATATTTTGACCTCTTTTAATGAATGCAGACCAATTGCCATAACTTTTTGAGTGTTGCACTGTGGTATTATACGGAGGATACTAGGTGACTAAATCTCACATGCCATCTAGTATGGTATGGGGTTTGACATACCCTGTTAAAAAAAATTAAATTAAATAAACATATTAATATTTTATGGCAGTTATTAATAAGAAATTTCTCTTAATATCTGAAAATGAACGAGTTTAAGTAGAAGACGTATTTATTTATACATTTTAATAGGCTTTTATTTGAAAAAACAAAAGCACAACTTTTTCTACAATTTATGAATTGATTTATTATTTCTTGAGTACAAAACTCAAATAGCACATACCCTAGCGTACTTTACGCCCTTGTTACGCGTTTCGTGGCGAAAGCCGCACTACATTCATTGCGCTAATTGGAACGGCAATGTCGAATTTATAGTTACTGCGAAAAAGAACTCGCCCATTTTTATTGTTTAAGAATTATTACGATTTTTAAATCGCTGGGGTTTGGTACACCCTACCTCGTACACGGAGGGTTAACATTTATCTTTCCTGCTCTATAGCTCAAAAACTGTTAGCTGTACACAAATTTTTAATACCGAAAAATCGAATTGAAGTAATTTTTACGCAAAAAAACAAAACCGACTTCTATTCTCATATAAAAATTTAAGATTATCGTTAATTTCTTCACGATTCAATTCTCGTATCTAAACAAAATTAGTATGGAACCACCCTTGAGGTACTCGATGAATTATCGAGATCGGTTAACGTGGTCCAAAGTTATGCGGTAACATACATGAAAAAAAAATATTCCGACGAACTGATAACCTCCTAATTTTTTTGAAGTCGGTTAAAAAGA